ACAACGAGATTGACCTAATCTCACGTATAAAAAAATACTATAGTAAAAGAATGTCGTATAATGTATATAATTTTTACGTACGTTCCATGAAGTACTGACGAGCATTGGTTTAGTTGGCAAAATCTATATATATATGTTGTATCTGATTCCGATGAGCGTTATTTTTTTTTCATATTGTCATTAATATTTAGTTGTAGTACTGTAAGTTCCGTTATAGTTCCACTTATGAACTTGTGTGATTTTCGTACCAATCTGTATAACGCCGGTTAAAATGAATGAACAATATAAAAATATATTGTATTTTTTTTAATGAATAAATTGCATTTTTTTCTCAACAAAAAAATTATTATTTTGAATTCACTTCTTATATATATGCATGTCAACTAGTTTCTTATTTTCAATGCCCTTGGTTATGTGCATTTAAATCCTTAAAAATGTATAATCAAGTCCCTACTTTTTAAAGACATATGAGTTCTAATGATGAGTTGTATATAAAACCTTTTTCGCCTTGCTAGTTATAGAAACCCTATTATAGGCTTATGGGTTGGCTTGGATAAGAACACATTCAATTTCTGTAGTTTGGCTCTGTTAAAGCTCTTCCATAATTTTCAAGTTTTTCCATAAATTACGAAGTTTTCTATATTATAAATTAGCCAACGATTATATTTGTTGAATTCTCCACACAAAGATGCAGGCAAGTAATGGGTCCTCATATTTAGTAGTATATATGGGTTTGAGTTTAACTTGTTGCCTAATATTGTCAAACAAATTTTACCAGAAAAACGTACTCATTAAAGAACGAGAAATTTCTGATGCATAGCAAGTAATGGTTACTATAGAACGTAAAAATTTTCAAATCTATCTTCTTCTTTTTTATATATAAAAATATATTAACACTAGACCAACATTAATGGTTAGTTTAAAATTCAAAATTTAAGTTTTAAACTTGTCCAAAACTTCTCCATACATTGGGCTAAAAAGAAATTTTGGGTTGAAACTGATTATTGGGCCCAAGAAAATAAGCTAAGATTAGTGGCTAGAATGTTGTCGGTCACTTGCGGAAAGACCAATAACTTTTTTTTTTATCAGATGGGCCACATGGTTGGATGGTTGGTTCAACCAATGGTCTAGATTCAATTTTTCTTTTTCTTTTTTATAAAAAAAATATCTAATATACAAATATATTAAATCTAACGGTTGGTGAAAAGACGACCTAAACACCCAAAATTAAAACCAACAACTAAACTCAGTTTGTGCATGTCCCTCGAACCTGTAATGGGATAGTCCATAGATTAGCTCAGTTTGCTATTTCAATTGGCAATGAGGTAGTATGGTTTGAGGATCCTCCTTACCTATTCAGGACCTCCTTATCCAAGATTTAATGTAACATCTATTGGAATATTAATATATCGTCGTTTCTTAAAAAAAACAATTAAAAATGTATTCAAATTAAATTCACCTATAAACTCTATAAATACCTATATATTTGTTCAAACATTTAACAAAATCCATTTTCGTTAAACAATTCTTCTTCTTTTTCTTTCTACCCACTTATGCATTTGTGTTTAACAATAGAATAGGTTGTATGGTTTTCCATGTTCTTTTATGTGCTGCATATGTGTAAGAATGAGATAGATTTAGTTATTTTTCATTATTTATTAGATTTTAAATATTTTTAAATTAAAATGTTCATAAAAATAAATTAAGATACATAAATTTATTTTTTATTTTTTAAAAGTTAAATAAAAAAATAAGAGACAAGGGTGCAGGAGGCGGGGCCCGCTTGTCAGCCCACTTGTGTTCACCCGGATTAGAGCTACATGGCCCTCCTCAATGCCGTTGGATTTCCAACGGCTAGTTTTTCTAAACCGTTGGATTTCCAACGGTAAAAAAAAAATTTAATTTGAGTTTTAAAATGGACCGTCAGATCATAGATCAATGGACCGTCAGATCATAGATCAACGGTTCATATTTTTCCCCCAAAAAATTTTTTTTAATACAAACGCCCAACGGTCAGAATTATGATCATTGGCCACGTGGCAGCTCCTTAGCTCTTGGATTTGAATATTTTTCAAATCCAACGGTCCAGATTAATTAACTAAATTAAAATTTATTAAAAATACAAAACAATTATTAAAAAATACAGAATTTTTTAAAAAAAAATATTATTTTTTATAAATACCTAGCCCTCATCTTCCACCTTACACCACATTTCAGAATTATGTAATTTTATTTTAGTGTGTTTTTTTTAAGTTTATTTGAAATTTTATCCGAAATTGGTTAAAAATCTTATCCGAAAATAAAACTATTTTTTTATTTATTCTTTTGAAAAAGATATAAAATAGTTTAAATGGGTTGGGTGCCAGCACATTTTGTAGGGGTGGAGATCGTTTGTGCCAGTGCATTTTTAGACTGGGTGCTAGTGCATTTTTTAAGGGGTGGAGATGTTTTGGCCCATTACTGTTCACTTGAGTGGATAAATGCATTGGGTGCTGGCGCAAAGTCTTTAGGGGTGGACTTGCTCTAAAGGAAAAAAATTGTTTCTGGATTATAACCTAAATTTTCTTAACTAAAATTTCTTAGTTCTCACATAATTGTCATAGACCAATCCCGTTCACTAGCTTAATCTCACGTACTTGAAAGTACCAAGGTTGAAGAGTTTCCAACTTTGTATTAAGTAATGCCAGGGCCAGTCCATTGATTTCGAAGACCCTGTGCAGGCAGATAAATTGAGGCCTTAGTTTATATGAAATAATAAGGAGAGCATGAGTATTTGGCAAAACTTCCACGATTCAGGTTCTCTATAGGGTGGTGATATCCAAGGCCGGTCCAGAGATTTTTGAGGCCCGGGGCGACGTCAAAAAAAGTGTCATAACTTCATGTAAGAAAATTATTTATTTTCACACGTAAGACATCAATAAAATTATACTTAGAAAAACACTTCAAACTCAATAATTTAGAAACACATAAATACTAATTTATTTTGTATTAAGAGAGGGAAACAAAAAAACTTCGGGCTTACAAGTAGATAGATGATGAGTTTTGTTTTCTATCTGAACTTTGAATGTGTTTTTTAATAAATTGTGAGGTGTTTTTTTCTTATTTACTAACATTGTCAATATGGGACTAAAAATTAATGATGTTTTCGAGTCTTTAATTGATATGTATTATTAATGAATGGGCACTAAATTAAACATTTTGATGACATGTCATATAATTTGCAAATTTGGTCTACGTATTATTCTTTGTTGAAGATTAGACTTGAATTAAAACAAATATTTAAAAATAACAACCCACATATCTACTAGATAGTAACTAAAAATAAATTAACAACCAAACAAAAATTTGTAAAAATTGAAAAGAATAACCATACACATAGCATTTCGAACTTAGAACCTCTTATTAATTTTAAACAATAAAAATCATTGTTTCTAATTAGACTTCTTGATCCTTTTGCCAAATTTTATAAATTTATACTTTTATGAAAAGAAATTTGTTAAAAATGAAAAGTAAACAAGCACACATGGTGTTTTGAACCCAAGACCTCCTCATTATTTTCAAATGACAGACCACCACTTCTAGTTAAATTTCTATGTCTTTGAACCAAATTTTATAACTTTATACTCTTATAAAAACATATATAAATATATCACCCTAATAATTTTGGTGCCCCTAATTTTTCTGGACCCTGGACGGTCGCCCTGCTTGCACTGGGCCTGGGCCGGCCCTGGTGATATCGATCGGACCAAATCAAAGATCAGTCAATCAGCCATGCCAAATACATACAACTCACTCTACATGTGCACTCGCTATGTAAACAGAGAGTTAATAGTTATTTGTATTTGAACTATACACTAATTTTGTTCGCTTTGAGTAGCTTGTATTTTTGTCATTATAGAACCAAGAAAAAGAATAATCCTTTCGATGGGGAGGTTGTGATTTCAAGCTTCTAAGAAGTGTTTGTATTTCAAGTAGTTAAAATATTATTTTTTTATACTTTTATTATTTAATTCGCATCTAATTTTTTATTTTTTTTTGTATTTAGAAAAGAAGTTGTTATAAGTAAGGTTTTAAAATACGGTAGGAGCTAGTCGGGTAGTAAATTGCAGCCTAGCACCTCGGTGGCTAATTGGGCCTAAGCGGACTAGGAGGATTTAGGTAAACTTGTTATATATCGTACAAATAAGTGCATGTTTATACTTAAAAAATACATAATTTGTATTGGAATATATAAATTGAAATATTGAATGACATATAGATTAGAAAATATTATAACATAAAGAAAAAATGGAGAACCTGATTATAATGAAATAAGTGTACCAAAATATTCAATAAGTTTTTTACAATTTATTAAAAAAATAATTGCAAAATGAAAGTTGTTTATTTTCTGTCTAAGTGAGAATTATGACTTAAGCGATGTCTAGGCGGATTTAAGCAAACTAAACAAGCGCTTAAGTAGATCTAACTGCTATTCTTAATTTTTAAATGTCCTAAAAATTAATCAACTTAAACGGAAATTTTTAAAAGAGTTGTTATTAGTACTGCTCCTAACTGTAAGTGTAATTTTTTTTTAACACAAAAAGTTAAGCGCGCAAAATAAGTTATTTGAATGACCGATAACTTAAAAAAAAAAATATATATATATATATATATATATAAATTAACAAAAAACAGAACGACGTCGTAGCCACCTCAGAGAAGTCAAACTCAAAACACGGCCAAGACAAGACTGATGGCTGCCAGGCATTTTTTGTCTTGTCCCTTTTCACACAACTGAAACGCCGACTCCCCATCCTCGACCGTCAGATGGTCAAAATTAACGGCTGAGATCTGCCAACATCTCAGTCCTTAAACCTGGCGAAACTCAGTGTCGCGTGGCTCCGCTGACGTGGGCCAATCTGCTACCAGAAAACTTACCACATGACCTGCAAGTAACTTTAAACTACTTCCAGGCGCCCTTCCCCTTTCTCGATGGAAATGCTATTTCCAGCCACATTTTGGCGACTAGCAAGAAACATCCAAGTGTGGAAATAGCAATTTCCCCTCCCCCATTCTTATAGCCGTCAACGATAGGATTAGTCCTTTGTGAAGAGGGAACCCTCCTCTCTCTTCTCTCTTTGCTCCCCAAAGACTGAAACTTTCTCTCTCTAAAATCTAAACCTAGCTGAAGGTATCTCTCTCCCTCTCTCAATTTTCCGTAAAGTTTATAGATTTCTCATTGCTCTTTGATCTGAGCCGCTGAAGTTAATTTTTTTCACTTTTTTTTTTATACTGAATTTGACTTTGTAGATTCACATGTGGTTGGTATTTTAATTTTGTGGTAATTTAATTTTATTTTTATTTAAAATTTTATGCAAGATGATCAATTGCATATGAGAGTTATTAAAGTTTTGATATATATATTTAAGATTATTCAAAGTCCAATTACGGTTGTGTAGAACTCTAATTTGGTATAGGATTTATGCTTTCTTTGTTGCTTGAGGATAATCGGTTATTGGGTTCTTGATTTTCAATTTATTATTGGGTCCTTCTGGGCTGCATTTTTATAGGCGGATTTTGGTAAAGTTATGATGTTAATCTAGTTAGTTAATTTGGTGCAAAAAGAGTTCATCGGAGTGGTTTACAGTGGAATTTAATAACTCACAGCTTCGAAAGTATGTCGAAGATGTGTTTTTATCAGGTAATTGGGAGAACAATCAAGTTGTTATTTATAGGTTAGATTTTGAAAATAATTGGTTAAGGGTGAACTTAATCAAGTATTGAGCTATAGCTTATATGTAGTGTGACTAGCGTCTATAACTTGACCAAATCGCCATTGTCTCGCACACCTCAATACTTTAGTCAAGGACAGTGCTAAAGTTAAACTTTGTTTATTTCATAAGCGAGGTTTAAACGATAACACTAGTATGAAGCCTCCTGGTGCTTGATATTAATTCTTGAGGGTGTACTTGTTCATTGGGCTGTAGAAAGTTATCTTCTAATTTCTAGTATTGTTTCATAGATACGTAATAAAAATATCGAAACTGCTTTTTAGGCAAAATAATAAACCTTGTATATTCAGTAGTAGATTCACTAAATGGGTAGTGGGTCAAGAGTTTTTGCTAGAAACTTCAAGTGGAAATACGGGACATAAAAAAGGGATGCAACAAGGTGGTGTGCAAATTTTTTCCATCATGGAGCTGGATGCACATTCATGTGTTTTTGAACTGCTTTATTACTTGATTTAGTAAAAGCAAACTTTGAGATTGTGCAAGTGACTGAGCTTTATGAATTATGATATTGGTGACTGAAGCTCCAAAATTTAGTAGGGTGACTGTTGGGAGGTAGGGGTGAGTGTAAATTTGTTTTTGACTGGGAAATGGACTCGCCTGTATTCTGGCTGAGTTGTGGACCTGCAATCAGCATTTACTTTTTACTTGTGTTTCAGTACAAGCTTCTCTGTGCATGTATTTATGTTTTGGAGTTACTTTTTTTCTCATCCCATATACATCTGGCGTTTCTATGCACATCTCTAATAGTATGCATGTCTGGCTATCTATATTCTTTTATTTGTTCCATCTAGTTGGTACCATTTTCAGCTACTTATTCTGAATTCCTGTACATACTATAATTCCCAATTTTGAGTTGATACTTATATATTTTGTGGAGTTTTAATTCTCAAATTTTCTCCTACTGCTGTAGCTGCAGTATTTACGTGCTTCAATCATGTTTGGCGGCTTTGGCCATGCTGCAAGGAAGAGTGATAACACCAAATATTATGGGGTTCTTGGTGTGCCTAAAAGTGCAAGTGCAGACGAGCTCAAGAAGGCATATAAGAAAGCTGCTATCAAGAATCATCCAGACAAAGGTGGAGATCCTGAGAAGGTGGGTCAAAACCCTTCCTCTTTCTTTATTTTATGCACCATGTACATGTGACATATTTCCATGCGGAGGCACTATTGGATACTGTTTGTGGAACTAAAAGTGCCCTATTAAGTGCCCGTTCTTTGGTACTAAATTATGCCCTTGACCACTTTCATGGGATTTGTGTCAGGTACACAAGGCTTGACATTTTGAAATGTTTGTAAATGGATGTGATATAGCGAAAGCCTTAAAAAATTAGACGACCTTTACTCAAAGCCTTTTTTTTGGAAAATGATGCTCCATTACCTTCTTTTTAATAAGCAGCCATTAGCCACCCTCCTTGAAAATTGTTTACTGGTTTCTGGGATGGACACATTGTTGTAGATTTTTGAACAATTTCTTTTGACTGTCATATCTAAAAGTTTTTGATGTGTTTGTTGAGATCAAAGCTTTAAAAACTTATTATGTCAGTAGAGTTGCTCTGATTACGAACTTATGCACTCTCAGTCTTCTGTTCCATTAGTTTTGCAGTGTATGATTTTAATAATGTTACATTCAAGTCAAAAGGGGTTTTAGAGTGATCACATATGTAAGCAATATTTTCTATATAATTACTGGCTTTGCTTTTTATGCCATTGACATGGCTCTTGAACTTGTGATATTCCTTTTACTGTAATTATTTCTCTTCAATTTTACCTTAGTCTGCTGGGTTGTGAACCAGTTCAAGGAATTAGGTCAAGCTTATGAAGTTCTCAGTAATCCAGAAAAGAGAGAAATCTATGACGAATACGGTGAAGATGGTCTTAAGGAGGGAGCGGGAGGTGGTAGTACCTCACATAATCCATTTGATTTATTTGAAACGTTTCTCAATCCCCGTGAGTGCTAGCCCGCCGATTTCTGCTCATTTTTACATTTGGTTTTTTGTTATTTTATTGTTGAAATGTTCTGTGCTGATTACTGCTTTCTGGATGTTCTGATCTTGCAGGCTATCGTTCACATGTAAGAAGGCAGAAGCAAGGTGAAGATGTGGTGCATACCTTAAAGGTTTCTTTGGAGGACTTGTATAATGGCACGACAAAAAAACTCTCTCTTTCTCTGAATATTTTGTGTACAAAATGTAAAGGGTATGCCTCTATGTGTCACTCGTTTTTTCTGTTCTTAGTTTGAGGCAGTGGCTTAACCAAAATCGCGTGGTGTTCTTTACCATCTTTTTTGCTTCAAACTGATTCCTACCCACAAGAAGCAATTTTCTTTTTTTTTCCTTTTCCTTTCGGTGGGGGAGGGTAGATTCGGTTGTTAAGTTCTCAACTTCCAGCTGTTCTTATATTTAAAGAATATGACGGTCTCACATTTTGTTACATCTTGTGCAATCTCTGTTCCCAATTGCACACAGGATGCTAGCATAGACAGAACCAGTGGTTAAACGAAAAAAAATGTGGCATTTCACTGGACAGTAGTTGCCAACATTTTATAGGATAAGTAAGGTACTTTGGCTATGTCTCGCAGTTAGATATGCGAAGTTGCCTTTCCTTTATCAATAATAACAGATACTGCTAGTACTGGGGATAAAATAGTTCTCTGCGTAGGATTTTGGGATGACTAGGGTGGTTAAACTGCTTCCCTTGGTTTCCAGGAAAGGCTCGAAGAGCGGAAACTCAGGGAGATGTTATGGATGCCAAGGTACTGGAATGAAGATTACAACACGGTCGATTGGATTGGGCATGATTCAACAGATGCAACATATCTGCCCTGAATGTCAAGGCTCCGGTACTTAAACTGAAAAGCATGCTTCGCATATCTCACTTCAGCATTATGGGTTTCGTATTCTTATAAACATCTGTCATTGTTACAGGTGAAGTCATCAGTGAAAGAGATAAATGCCCACCATGCAAAGGTAAGAAGATTACTCAAGAAAAGAAGGTGATGGATGTGCACGTGGAGAAAGGGATGGAGCACGGTGAGAAAATTTTGTTCGAGGGACAGGCTGATGAAGCTGTAAGTTAGGTTTTCATAATCAGAATTGTAAATTTATACTTAGAGCATTCTTTCATCATTATTGCAAGGGAAAGAGATCCTCTCCAGACCTCTTCAACCAAGGCCACCGGATCAAGTGATCTGGGCCTTTGAAATTTCATCCAACGGCCCACCTGTTTTGATCCCTTAAAAGCTATAATAATTTTTGACCGTTGGATGAAATTTCAACGGCCCGGATCACTTGATCTGGTGGCCTTGGTGGAAGAGATCCGGAGAGGATCTCTTTCCTATTTCAAGAGGTGGCAGCATTATGTCTTTGACCAGTTTAATATATTGTCATTAACTTTCATTGTTCTTATGAAAGCCTCGTCTTTTAAAAGGGCAGCATTATGTCTTTGACCATTTTAATTTCCTGCCATATATTTCCAATGTTCCCTTGAAAGTTTTGTCTTTAATGAAATTTTTGTGTATTAATTGTTGCTTATTGTTTGCAGCCTGATACAATTACTGGAGACATTGTTTTTGTATTGCAACTCAAGGACCACGCCAAGTTCAAGCGAAAGTTTGATGATCTTTACGTAGAGCACACTCTCAATTTAACTGAGGCTCTTTGTGGGTTCCAGTTTGCATTGACCCATCTTGATGGCAGGCAGCTACTTGTCAAATCAAATCCCGGAGAAGTCATCAAGCCTGGTAATTTTCATTGCTTTGATATTCATTGCTTTAAATTTGTCCATTATGGATCATCTAACTTTTATTCCAATGCAGGTCAATCGAAAGCAATCAATGATGAGGGCATGCCTCATCACCAGAGGCCATTCATAAAGGGCAAGCTTTACATCCACTTCAATGTAGAGTTTCCAGACTCTGGGATTCTTTCTCCTCATCAATCCCAAATGTTGCAGACAGTACTAGACCCCAGGCATAGCAAGAAGTTGACTGACATGGAGCTGGATAAGTGTGAGGAAACCACCTTGCATGATGTCAACATTGAGGATGAGATGAGGCGTAAACCAAGACAGCAGTATCGGGAGGCGTATGATGAAGATGATGAAGATGATGAAGAGTCAATGCCACGGGTGCAGTGTGCTCAGCAGTAAGGCCCTCTCTGTTTTATCCATCTTATAGGGCAAAATTATAGTTCTGCATATGCAGTTGAGTTCTGATTTAAGATCTTTATAGGTTCCTGCTATTTTATTTTCACTCGATATTTTTTCTCCCTGCTGTGTTCTTCTGTTTGTTATAAACTTTATATAAAGTTCTATTAAGATGTTAGAATTGAGTTATAATGCTCTTGAATTGATGATATATCTATTTATGGATCATTAGCCTTTCGATTGCCTAAGTTAGTAATTTGGACGCTAAGGGCCTGTTTAATACTCTATTTGAATCTAACTTTGTAAACTCGAAACCAATTTTCAAGTTTTAGGCCTTAAAAACTTGAAAAACTAAATTCGAGACTAAATGAAAATATAGTCTATTATCTAAAAAAAAAAAAAAAAAAAAGAGTTTTTAGAGTTTTTAAATTTATACTCTCCTTTCTTTTCTCCCTCCTCCCCTCTCACACACTCTCTCTCTCTCTCTCTTCTTTCTCCCTCTTTTTTTTACCTTTTTCGTCTCTCCTTCAATCCGTTTTCTTCATTTTCTCAGTTATTTCTTTCAGTCATCTTCCTCTCTATTTCGACCGATCCTTTCTCTTCTTTCTCTTTCCTTCAATCATCTTTTACTTTCATTCATTCTCTCTCCCTTTCTCCCTCTCATGCGACCCTCTTTTTAGATATTTTTGTCTAGTTTAAGTCGTAAGATTTACAATTTTTAAATTGCAACCAATTAGGTTTTTTAGTCTTTAAAAAAAATTGTTTTCAAGAAATGTTCTTAGGAAATGTTTTGAGAAATGATAAAAAATTTCAAATATGATACCAAACAGGCCCTGATTTTTTTAGGGGTGTGCTATCTACACACTCATTTTTACTTGTCCCACACCCCTTGTTAATTTCTGTCATTTGATCTTTTTCATTTCATTCGATTTGACAGTCGAAAATTAAAAGGGTGTGAGAGAAGTGAAATGGGGTGTGTGGATATCACTTCTCTTTTTTTAAAGAAAGTTCACAAAAATTGCTCTGATAAGTTGCAGCAATGCTAGGTGCTTGTTAGGAATGTCATAACTAAAGAATGTAAGATAAGATGAGTTGTTTGGACTACATTGGTTGACCAGTATTGGATTCTAACCTAGCATTCGTTCCACCTTTCCCGTTGTGAATTTTGGTTGCGATGAGCATGAAAACTCCGATTCGAAAATAGAGGTGGACTTCACTAATGTATGTGGTAAGTAAACGGAGTCCAAATTATCAGCACTCTTGATTTCCAATGAAAATTCTTTCCCTTTTGTTGTTGATGAAGATGATGAAGTTATAAGAGTCGAAGTGGGATCAAACCTTTGAACTTATTAGTCTATTCTAGTACAGATACTCTCATGCACCAAAATGGAGCTTTCAGTAGACAAATGGTTCACTTTTTGAACACGTGTGTCATGCTCTAATCCCGACATACGTCCAGAATCGACATGTGACGTTACCAAATACCCGTATCTCTAACTAACCCGTCTTCGGGATATGGCAAAACACAACTCAAGATTTGAATTGTGTAGTAATTTCATATACTCTATGGCTGCATCTAACCTCCTCGTTAGACTGCCTACGTACCCTAAACAGGGATCAAGTCATTTTTAGTTTACCATTCATTACACTCGAACATTCATCGCATATTTCAGTACGTCTCAACGTAATACCACAATTCAAGCATGTAGCACCTCAAGGAACATTCAACGAAGCACAATAATATTCTCTAGTCATCTTGCCATTCACCCTCACAAGTATTTCAGCACCATCCAATAATCACACCAATCAATAACCCATATAATACACCGAAATGCAGGGCTAGAGCAACACATGACACAGTTTGGCTGAAGCCTACATCTCTGAAACTGAAATCAAATCCAAGGAACCAACAAGTTAAATGATGCGATTTCGAACCACTCAACGAAATCCATCAACATTGGGTTTTGGACCACTCAACGGAACCAAGACACCAAAGGGGATTCCGGATCACTCAACGGAATCTAAACTAGGATACAATTCCGAACCACTCAACGGAATCGTGGAGTAGAAAAGATTCCGGACCTCAACGGAATCCGAGTGGATACGATTCCGAATCACTCAACGGAATCGCAGAGTATAAATGGTTATCATTCCACTCAAAGAAATCCAAGGCAGGGTACGATTTTGGACCACTTAACGGAATCATGGATCACGAAGGATTCTAGACCACTCAACGGAATCCAGACGGAGCAGGGAACCGAACCACTCAACGGAACCCAAGCAAATACTCAGTTCCGAATCACTCAACAAATCATGAATCAAGTGCTCAATTTACAATGGCTCAACGAAATGAAACGAAGCACAAGTATTAAATTAGAACGGTCAACAAAGCGAGAAATGAAATAATGAAATGGAATATGAAACAAGTTTCTAAGCAACAAACCCCCATGGCAATGGGTTAATGGTCCACTACTAGCCGTCACATTTCATCACATTATACCAATCATGCAAATCAAACCACATCTCAAATATGCACGTCAATCACATTTCACAAATATCATTACACAAGCCAAATCACGTTTAATAAACATAGGTCAATGGCTAAATATATATAAAAATCACATTTATAAAACCATTCATATTCACAAATGATACTAATATAAGAAATCAGGGTAATAACCATATCACATATATTCAAGTCACTCTCTAACCATAGTAGGCCCACTAGACTTCACTTAAGTCTTCCGTAGTTCTAATTTTAGTATTTAGAACATTTCGAGACATGTTGACTAAAAGTCAACTCTTGGTCAACGGTAGGGTCCATAACCTAAGTAATTCGATCCGAAAGATCCACTCATTGGATTTTAGATCTGTAACTTCCTAAGGTCCTCATTATGCTCATAAAAGAACATACTAAAATCTCATCGCGATCCAACGGTCGAATCTCCGCCAATCTCAAATTCAAGTGGTGGTCAACAATTAGTTTTACAAACTTAGAAATCCAATTCGGGAAGATCCGTACGTCGGAGTCCCGATCCATCAGTTCCAAATATCCTCAAATATTAGGTTCTATAACATATTAAAGTTGAATGACGATCCAACAGTCAGATCGTCGATTCATATATTAACCAAGTGGCGGTCTTTAACAAAACTATGTTCAAACGACAAGATTTCGTCAATTGTACGCCACATATAGAATCAGGGTATCCAAATTATCCTAGGAAGGGCAGGTAGGGTCTCAGCCCACGCTCCGCCACACGTGGCAGCCGGCCGCCCCGGCTCGTTGGAAAATTCAACTATTTCCAAAAATTACCAAATTTCACAGAAATGTAGATCTCGATGAATAGAGCAAGTTTTATACATGTGACCAAGTCCAATTTGGCCAGGAAAAGCTCCAATTTCCCTTGAACCCCCCGGAAACCCTAGAAATGAATGGCTTCGATCTATCACTTCCAGTGCTCCGCCGCCCCTACAGTTGTTTGGGCTTTGTTCCAAGCCTCAAGGGGAGTCAATTATGGCTGGTGGTTGAAGGTGGCAATTGCAGAAACGACAGATCGCTGCTAAGAACTCGTCGCACCCACCGTGTAGGTTTCACCCAAATCAAGACCAAATTCTCCAAATTTTGGGGTGTAATTGGTATAGGGAAGGTCGTTGAGTTGAGTGTAGGTGGTGGCGACAATCGATTGGCCGAGAAAAGGTCGAAATCAGTGTCGGAAAATCTTGCAGGGTGTTGGGTCAGAATCAGATCGAGTTTGGAAAAAAATTCCCCCGATTTGCTGATTCTCTCCTCCCCTCCTTTCTCTCATTTCCTCCTCCCTCATTGGTCCCTTCTCTTCCTTTCTCCGGCTGTCATTGGCCACCCTTTTTCCCTTCTCCAGTGATGCAGGATGGGAAATAAAATATTCATTTGGCATGAAGCACAATAAATTATTGGAAAACGAATTTATGTACTGGAATAAAAAGGGTGGTTTAATACATATTGGCTGATCTATTTACTTCCAAGACGTTTTATGGCTAATATCATTACTTTAGTTATGTAATTTTCAATTTTATGTGACTTTAATTCAATTTTATGTCAATTTAATCATATTGTCTTTCAATTTCTGAATGTAAGTTACAAAATGGTTATAAAAACCATCTCTTTCTATAAGATGAAGAAGTTGGACATTGTTGATTAATGAAAATACTCAGGGTGTTCCTCTGTTTCAGTTTTGTGCCTTTCTCTTTGTGAGATTGTTCTGCTTTGTTCTTCTAGTTGTCTACGTTGTAGGCTAGTACTAGAACCAAAGTTTATAGGGTTTTCAGTTTTAGGTGTTTTTATGTTTATTACCTTTTAAATTTCTGAATGTAAGTTACAAAATGGTTATAAAAACCATTTCTTTCTGTAAGATGAAGAGTTGGACGTTTTTGTTGGTGAATGAAATATTTAGAGAGATTTCTATCTCATATTTGTGCCTTTCTCTTGTTTAAGAGTCTGTTGCTTTGTTCTTACTGATGTCTACGTTGTAGGCTAGTATTAGAACCAAAGTTTATAGGGTTTTCAAGTCTCTCCTCACACTAGGAGATAGTAGACCCTACCTATCGATTCTATTTTTCGTTTTATTTCATTTCTATTCGATGCGTCCTGCATCATCCAGTCACAGCCTTCCACATGTCTTAAAAGTGACGGGAAGGCTCCCAAACTTTGTTCGTTAATAACTCATTCATTATAACTCCGTTTCATGAATGGTTTGCGCCTACGCATTCGTGAGATCGAGCTCTATTCGAAAATATAAATTGTGACCTTGAAAGGTCTACTGATTTTAGATAATTAATTTCCAAACTTCAAACTTCGTAACTAGTTTAATTAAAATCTAAATTCAAATAAATTAGTATAAATTCTCAAAAAATCATATAAAATCTCAACAATACAAATACATAGATATAACAGTGAAATCTAGGAACGGGATTTCACAACGTGGCTAGCATTTAGTAGACTGGTGATGTCACGTCAGACTTGACTTCATTAAAATTTTCTATAATACATAGCGTGTCCCATATTTGTTTGCTGCAAAATCAGTTTGAAAATCAGCCTAATAGCTAGCTTTTGGAGTTGCACTTTAATTTAGCTTTCTGCCACCAGATCTTGTCTCAACCCCAAATAATCAAACCCCAAACTGGCATAGTTGCAAGAAAGAATTTGTGTTACTTCTTGCAGGAGTATTTCACACTGTCGATAATTTCAAGGGTAAAATTATGAGACTAACTCCAATCCTTGGAGTAAGTCTTAAGATTTACCTTTTATTCTCTCCCCTCTCCCCTTCCTCCTCCCAAATTTCCTTCCAACCTTTGGGCCAATTTGGGGTTATGAGTTAGAAGCTAAAATTGGACCAAATGCTGGCCAGAAAAGTGGACTAAGTTAGTGGTGTGCCCCACATGTGAGAGTGGAAAACCGGAGGTGAAACCCATTTGCCCAGGCCCACTCACGCACGTACTAGCACTCGCCAACCACTGGAGCAGTCGGACTCCACCCACGTGGGCTTGTTTTCCGCTTGTATAGTGCATTAATGAACCTTAAAGCTCTTTTTTCTTATCCTACGACCATAATTCAAATGGAGCGTTGGTTGATCCAGTGGTTTAAGTTTAAATTTCTTTGTTTTTTTAGTTTTATATTTATAAATTTATTAAATCCAACTGCTAAGATCGAATATGATCAAATTTAATTGTAAAAAAAAAAGAAAGATCTAAGGACCCAAATTTAAATCCAGCGCTAAAATAATTAAAAAAAAAATTTAACTCAAACTTCACCCAAAAATCATAAATACCTAAGTATTTGTTCAAAAATCCACACAAAACTCACTTTTCTCCTACAATTCTTCCAATTTTTCTTTCTATCATCTTCCAAAACCATTTCTAAAATTTGCAAGATGGCAAAAGATCATATTAGAGGTCGTAATTGGTCATTTCCAAATTCTTCTAGTGTTTCATGAGTTTCATGTGTCGGTTTAGTGATTTTTCAATATTTATCATAATTTAAATATTTTAGGTTAAAATGTTTGTAAAATTAATTTAGGATGGTCTACATAATTTTTTTTAAGTTAATTTAAAATAAATTAGCCTAAATTCATTGTTTAATAATTGGGCTAAAATTTTAACCAGAGATGTTGGAGAAGAAGAGTTGTTTCTGAGTTAAAACCTAAATTTTATGGGCTAAAAATCTTAGGCTTTAACCAAGGGCTGGAGATAGTCTAAGAGGGGAAGAATATGATTTTATGGAATAATTATTTGCGTTTTGACTACAATACTACACTAAAACCTACTCCAACTCTTGGAGTAAAACTCAAATTTTAAGTTTTAAACCTCCTCCAACTTGCTCCAACCCTTGGGGCCAAATTTGAGTTTTATCTCAAAACTCATTTTTGGGGCAAATTTAGCCCATAATTCCCTCCGAGTTAGTGGGCTGGTCCACTATATATGTGGATTTTTTTTAGTTTTATATTTATAAGTTCATTGAATCCAACAACTAAGATCTAATATGATCAAATCTAACGATAAATAAAAATATATAACGGTCCAAATTTAAATCCAACACCTAAAATAATTAAAAAAAAAATATTTCATGTGTTTCATATTCTTTCATAGTGTTTCACGAGTTTCATGATGTCCGTTTAGTGATTTTTCAATATTTATCGGAATCTAAATATTTTTAGGTTAAAATGTTCATAAAATTAAATTAGGATAGTCTAAATTCATTTGTTCCAAATTTTATGGGTTTTAACGCAAGAGTTGGAGATGGTCTAAGAGGGTGGGGAAGTGTGCTACGTCTCACAATGGGTTATTCCTCTCACTTACAATGATAAAGAATACTACTAGACCAAGTGAAAATGAATATCGCTAAACTGTAGTATTAATGATAGATAATTATTGTATTAAATACAAATATTTATATGAATTATGTATGACCGTAGGATGATTGTGTCACAAACGTGCAAGTTGCAGTAACTTCTATATCTGGAGGAGGATTGTCTGCCCTCCAAGTTCCCATGCCCTCCCATGCCCTTCTGATTGTGTGGTCATGGTTAAACCACGTTAATATTTTATATTATTATTCATTTTTATCTTATTATCTCTATAAAAAAATAATATAAAATATTAACGTGGCTTAACCGTGACCACACAAAACAGGAGGGCATGGAAGGGCACCGAAACTTGGAGGGCAGACAATCCTCCTCCAAATTCTAATGCTCGACGATTTGACAATTTAACAAATTAAAACCCCAAACACACAACCACCCCCCCCCCAAAACCCCCAACACAAAACAAGGCCCACTTCTCTTCTCGCTCGCTAGCTCGCACAACCACCCCCCCCCCCCCCCCCCCAAAAACCCCCAACACAAAACAAGGCCCACTTCTCTTCTCGCTCGCTAGCTCGCTTTCTCCCACATCTTGCTCGCATCTCCAAAAACGCAGAGAGACGGGTAGGTAAACCTCCATCTCCCTTTATCATTTTCTCTGTTTTTTGGTACATATCGCATGTGGGTTTTTCGATTTCTGACGTTTTCTATTGATTTCGAATGCATGTGGATTTCCGCCATTGTTATTTTCTTACTTTCGGAATTTTCATTTGGGTACCAGAGGAAATAAATAAATAAATAAAACTCTGATAGTTGCTAATAATTCTGTATTTCGGGTCGCAATTTTCATTTGTGATTCACCTGCAACTACCTCCGCCACTAAATCATCAACACCCAGTTCGAACCCAATCGAACCACCAACACAAACCCCACGTATACCCAATTGAACAACCATCGCCGCCTATAGATTTTTCGCAAGTGCACTATGAGATTTTTCGAGTTGCCTTGTAGGATTCAATTATTTGATAATTCTGTATTAACCATTATCCCTTTCTGTTCAAGCATTGTGCCTCTGTTTTTTTTAAATTTTCCGAGTTTCGGTGTGTTTTAAGTAATTGTTCCGGCTTTGACTAGATGTCGATAAGTGCATCATAAGCAAATTAAAGTAGCTTTAATGTCACATTTTATTGATTTGTTCAAAAATAGTGAAAGTTGATGAATTGAAGGGTGCGAGCCGTTATTTGTGGAGGAATCCGTGTGCTCTTTTTAATCTGGTCCCGTGCACATTGATTCGTAGTGTACTGCTCTTATTCTTCTGTTCTGTGTCTAATGAAAAGAAAGTTGATGTGCTCTTCCTTAAGTTCCCAGGTATTCTTTTGTAGCTCATATCGGAGACAAACCTCAACTGTTCTAACCTCTGCAGTCACGGAACACAGTTGAAGATGGCAAGGCGTCTAATTGCAACCCTCAATCGTGGCCTAGTTGGCAAACTCTTCTCCGAGTCCTCTACCAAGGTAACACTACCTTGTTTCTTGTGTATATGTTTATGGATTTGATGCCATTGCGCAGCCCTAACAGTGGTATGTGATGGCTTGTTGGTGTTGTTTGGTTTGGACCATTTGGTATAGCTGGACTCAGGAAAGCCGGTGGTTGCGGGAATGTGTGGACTGGACAAAGCAGGTTACAGTACCCAAGCCAAGCAAGAGTATGTTTCTTTTACAATGTTGCTTTTTTTTTTCACCATGAATATATTTCACCATGGTTTATGTTTCAATTTTTGTGTCCTTTTTTGGCTACTATGCGGTCAACATGGTCGTGTTTGAGTATTTGTAATTTTGTTGGATTTGCCTTCTGAGCAGATCTCATTTTTACGATGGCGCTTTTGTGGATGCATTCCTGATGAAAATGAAGAACAACAAGGATCTCCTTAACAATAAGAAAATTTGGTCACGCAGATCTACTATTTTGCCAGAATTCGTGGGTACTACAGTCCGTATCTATAATGGAAAAAATCATATTCGCTGCAAGATCACTGAAGAGAAGGTTGGTCATAAATTTGGAGAGTTTGCAATGACACGGAAACGAAGAGTTCAGGCTAAAACTACTGCACCAGTAAGACCAGTGAAACCGGGAAAAAAAGCAGGCAAAAAGTAAAAAGGCCTATGGTGAAATTCGTAACATATCGGATTCCGTCTCATTCAGGAGAATTCTGAAACACATGAATGATCTGGTTTGATTTATTTTTTCCAGCAGAGGATTGCGTTTGATTTCGATTCTAGTCTGTTTTAATGAAGTGTTGAAAGTTTCTCAGCGGATGTTTATGTTGGCTAATCCTTTTGCTCAAGTGAAGCAACCTTCATGACTCGTTATTTTTATTATTTGTATTGACACAGTGACTCGTTAGCGCAGCTTCATGAATTATTGAGAAAGGGTGCTCAAAGATTGTGGTTTGGCCTCGTCAAATGAATTTCTGAACATTGTTTATGTATATCGTGTCGGGATAAATGTAATGGCAGAAGTAGATTTTCCAAGTGAATTCGGCTAGGGCGGGAAGGGATGGGGCTGAGATGTAGAATAAGTTGGTTGTGGGTTACAGAAATTCAATCCTATGTTTGCCCAGCACGGTGTTTGGTAAAATTAAAAGTAACCATGAAATTAAATTTCAAAATTGATATACATAATTCTTAGGCCATCTCCAATGAAGACGGCTAAAGTTCTAAAAGCCAAAAAATGGCTTCATTTGCTTTAAAATTCATCTCCAATCAATTGTTGAGCTATAATTCTTCAGAGTTCATTAGGTTATTATTTAGCCAAATAGACATTAGGCTGGCTGGTCAAATATAGCTCCCATTCTAGCCCTTTTTTTAGTTCAGTTCTCTAGTTACAATAACTAATATATTATTGAGAGGGCTATGTTTAGCCCCTTCGTTTGGAAATAATCTACGAGTATGGTCTGATACTGTTTGTTTAAAAATAAATTTTTGCAGGATTATAATTCTGGACGAAGCTCTATTTAGCTCTTTCCGTTAGAAATAACCTTTATAGGGATAAAGTTGTTAAAAATAGTTTACTTGTTCGACTCGTTTTTGGCTTGTTCAAGCTTGGATTTGTAAGTGAAACAAGCTAAACTTGTTCAAAATATTAGGCTTGCAGAAAATTGACCAACTTGAGTTCGGTTGGAACTTGGCTCATTTGTTAAAGTTCAGCTAATGGCTTTGACATTATCCTTATTAGAAGTTCATTAATCATATTCTTTTTCTTTTTGAACCAAAGCAATAGCTTAATTCATTAATAAGAGAAACACGATTACAAGAAGAATGTCAACTGAAAATATTTTTTTCACTAACCAAATCATTGATATGAAGAGAAACAGCCCACAACAAGAAAACATAGTAAATAAAAAACATGCAAGAACCAACGATGTAGATTTGCCACAGTAAATCAAAGCTGGCAGATTCAAAACCTAGGAACACACGGAGCCATTGCTAAAAAGTGAGGCCACACATACCGCTAGGTAGCCTAAACATACACAAAACACAATTAAGCCGAGAAGAAAACCACTGTCAGCTTATCTCCAAAATGATAAAAAATGGCATGCTCACCCGACCATGTTACTCACAAAATATGGAGGGTTGCTCACAAAATAGTGGGTAAAGAGGTAAGGAAGGGAAGGTGCGGGTCAAGCGATGAAGGAAGGGAGTAGAGGTAGAAGGAAGGAGGGATGGTGCAGACCTTAAGCCGTGGCAAGGGGCGGCGACTGGAGCCTAGAGGAGCTTTAATTAGGGTTCGTTGTTTGAGGTGAGAAGTGTGTAGAGATACCAATAAGCACTTTCGGCCATTGACCCAATTACCACACTGTTGTAGATGACCGATTGTTAAGATCCTCAGCTTTTTCCTATAGAGCTCATGTCAAAACAAATTTTCCAAGTTGTTCGGAGATGGTGGGAAAGTGCATGAGAAGAGCTTTGGGGCACTTGTGAACAGTTTCTAAGAGTGCATCAAATGGCTTTAAGTGAAGAAACGTAATTATAGCAAAAAAGATGGACAATGGGAAAGAAGAAATCAATTGCTTGGATAATCAGGAATAATCAGTGATTCCAAGTCATCTTTTCTATGCGAGTTCATATATACCATTCCCTATAATATTGTATATGTACTCTTTTATTTTTGTTTATTCATACAACATGTATTCATGTGATGTGTAGCAAACAATTTCAATTTATATACTGAAAACAACAATATATGGAGAAGAATAAAAGGGTAACACTGATTATAGGGAGAATATAATATGTCTTCGGTTGATCAGAAAAGGGTAACACTGGAATTCTCATCAATTTTAATTGTGGAGTGTTTTTAATAATTTGTGGAATGTCAATCAAACAACTCTTCTTTAAAGAGAGCAGTTATTCCCACACAATGTCTTATCTTTCCACCCACATTTTTATGAATTTTTTAATTACAAATTTATCAATTTGTAAAATGACTAATAAGGACCTTAATTACCCATTTTGCATTACTTTTTTTTTTATAAAAAATAAAAAATAAAAATTTGGGCGTGATAACTCTCACGCTATATTTAGACAATTTGTCTCCCTTAAACCCTAACTCATCATTCCCATCTTCTTTCATTCAGAGAAAGCAAAATCATTCAGAGAAAACATAAAGAATGAACTTAGAAGATGATATTTCTATGAAAAAAAGTAGATGATTATGTTTTTGTCAAAGAGGTAAAAGATAATTTTATGTGGGTCATCTTGATTTTTTGACATCGTATAATTGAAGTATAGCTTTGTGACTTTTTATTTGAATTTGCATTAGGTTAGGATGCAATTTAGTTCACGTTTTCCTAAAAGAATTCTTGGAATTCGTTTTCATTAGATTAGGGTGCAATTTGTTTCACATTTTCCTATGAGAATTCCTAGCATTTGTTGGAGGTATTGTGTTGGGAGTTTTTTTGTTTGCCCTTTTCTTCTTTTGGATCCTAGCGGCTGTTCATCCGTTTGGAACACCAGTGCGGTTGTTCATCCTTTTTCTTCTAATTACACACACACACACACACACAAATATATATATATATATATATATATATATATATATATTAAAGGTTATTTTAGGAATAATAATGGGTGGGAAAATAACTTTTTAATTTTTTAATTTTTTAACTTTTTATAGAGGGTGTAAATATAACGTGGGTGGGAAAATAAGACAACGGAGTGGGTCTAACAGCTCTTTCTTTAAATATTCATATTAGCAATTTATAATTATGTTTATTTTAAGTAAATTGTTAATGACACCTCAAAAATTTAATTTAAAAAGAAAATAGTTCTATGAACAGTGCACAATTATGTGAAAAAGACCAAAAAAATACATAATTGAAACTTAAAAATAACATTTTGGTAATGCTAAGGAGACTATATATTTAAACTGTATTTTATAAATCATATAACATGATTGTTGATGATGGATTATTAAGAGAAATGTTAAGGAGACTCTCAAATTGAGACTAGTTATGAACTCTCTGCCACCTCATGTTTTGGCACAAGATTTTATATTGCTGACGTGAGAATTGTGCCCAAAAGATGAGGTGACTGAGAGTCCATGGAGAGTCTCACTTTTGAGAGAGTCTCTATAACATTTCCTATTACTTTTTTATCTACATCACTCAAGTGTTGATTAACATGCTTATTTTTTATTAGTGACATCATATAATTTACAAATATGGTTTAAAAAGTTGGTACCTAGCATTACTCGTAACGTTTTTATCTAAACCCACTACAAATCCTAACCTATGCTCAGAACGAACACATGGCCATTGGGGAATTTAACAAATGGTCGAACAACAGAGGCCGAAGGGGATGAAATTTTTTTGTGAAATACTCAAATTCCCAACTTCTGATTTTTCTAAAATGAGCCTGTTTCTGCAAAGTCTCTTAAAATTGAAGTTGAAATACTCGAACCGCTAGTATTGTCACAGTCTAGCTCTCTGTCTAGATGAGGAAAATAAACTTAAAATTTGTACAAAATTCAATTTTTTTTTAAATTGACATGCGCTAATTTTCTTTTAGGATTTATAAACATAGAATTTTAGAATTTCTGTGTAGAAAAAAACAAAGAATTGAGACCTTCAAATTTTCAAGTTTAAATTTCATGTAAATAATTATCATTTCTAAATTTCCATGACTGAGAGTTAAAACCAAATAAAAAATAATAAAAACTCAATCATGATCACCGCCACCACCACCCACCACCATTATCACCGTCGCCGCCGCCGCCACTCGCCATCATCCTCATTGCCGCCACCACAACCACTCACCATCATCATTGGTGCTGCCACACTGCCACCACTACTCACCATAATTTCCACCACACATCATCATCACTACTGCATGCTACCACAAACCATCATCACTGCCAATGCCTCCACCAACCACCATCATCACGCCGCTGCCCACAATCTTCACTGTCGTAGCCACCATCACCACTAGCACATTTCCTAACTACTATGTCTTATTTATATATTAAACTTTGCATTTAAATTTGTAACATCCCACATCGTCTAGGGGAGTGGATTATGTAAGCCTTATATGTATATTTTCATCTCTATCTAGCACGAGACCTTTTGGAAGCTTATTGGCTTCGGGTTCTATCAGAACTCCGAAGTTAAGTGAGTTCGTGCGAGAGTAATCCCATGATGGGTGACCCATTGGGAAGTTCTCGTGTGAGTTCCCAGAAACAAAACCGTGAGGGTGTGGTCGGGGTCCAAAGGGGACAATATCGTGCTACGGCGGAGTCGAACCTGGGATGTGACAATTTGGTATCAAAGCCAATCCCTGACCGGATGTGTTCCGACGAGGACGTCGAGCCCCTAAAAGGGGTGAATTGTAACATCTCACATCGTCCAGGAGAGTGTATCTTGTAAGCCTTATATGTATATTCTCATCTCTACCTAGCACCTGGCCTTTTGGGAGCTCACTGGCTTCGGGTTCCATTGGAACTCCGAAGTTAAGCGAGTTCGTGCGAGAGCAATCCTATGATGGGTGATCCACTGGGAAGTTTTTGTGTGAGTTCCCAAAAACAAAATCGTGAAGGTGTGGTCGGGCGGAGTCGAGCCTGAGATGTGGTGGGGGTTCGGATCGAGATGTGACAAAATTTCATTGTACTTTTATGTTAGCCAAATAAGAAAATTTTGAAAAATAATTTCATCATTTTAAATTCCATGTTTTTGTATTCTTTGGTAATCTTAAATTTCGTCATCCAAACACAATGTAATTGAATTTGAATCAAAATTAATTTACCCCAATGCAGGCATTCGAACATCTATAATTTAGTTATTTAATTATTTTAAATTCATTAAAAAGGATTTAGTGGTGTAGAGACTTAAGGGAAATCTATTAGTGTGCTCAGATTTTTTTTAATATCACAATTTTTTTTGGGCTCACTGTTCATGGAAACGGTGAAGGAAACTTGCTACTTGTACTAATATT